GAGCTGATTGGAGAATGCGCAAGGTCCTGCTCGACTGGCACTGGCTACAATATTGTTTCTTTAGCCAATCACAGTAACTCAAATGACGTTTACCATGCATGCCTGGAAAAAAACAACTCGCTGAAGTTTCATTCGTTCACTTCACGAGGCAATTACCATGTCTTCAGGTGATTTCTGCCAGTTTTGCAAGAAGAATATGCTCATAAGAGGGCAGGTTTTCTCCCATCACCTAAGGAGCCTTGCGACTACCAGGCTCGACTTGATCGAACGCTAGGCTAAGCGTGGTCCCGACCCTCATCCCCGGCCCTACCTCTCCGCTGACATGGACGACGCTCGAAAGCCAAGCGAACAGTGGGCCCCCACTCCGCTGATACTGACAAGAGACGGTAGTGGAGCACAACAACCCCCAACCCCCCAACCCCGCTCTCACAGCCCAACTCGCAACATTCCGTCATGGTTAAAAATAGTTCCAAAATGAAAGTTGAACCGACGTCTTTTCTGTTCTTGATATCGTCTCATTTGGACGTTTAATAACGAAAATTTAGGCTTCTTATTACTGTATTACTGTAAAATAAAATATATCATTGCTGTAATAAAATATCATTAGTAATATAAAAAAAGCATTTCCGTATGCAATCTGAATAGAAAATTCATGTGTCCCTGCCTGAATTTGTACCCAGGTCCCCGGCAGGTTAGGCAGATGCCTTACCAGTTGAGCGATCTCTTTGGCACATTCATGAAGTCGCCTAGTGAATTTACACTTACAACTGATTCACAAATGTTAAACTATATTGTATGTAGCTAGTTGTCAAAATAACAATTACACATGTAACTGTAGGCACGTACAAATATATCTGCATGGAATGTTAGGGAATTTTTTTACGTATGTTTTAACAAATTTAAGACGTCCGACCGCGACCATTTTTGGCCATGGACCCTGTATTACCGTCGAGACAATTGTTTGCTGTTATCGTCAATTGGCGCAGCCATGTTTGTTCTGCTTAGCCGGGCACTTATACTATCATGAAAACTAAGTCCCACCCTATAGCACAGTACCGACACACAATCGGTCTGGCCTATTTTAGGCCGAAGGCCAGACGGTTTGAATTGGAGCGGAACAAGATGGATTCCCTGAGTTTGGAAATTCTCTCGCGAGAATTCATCTTGCAGCGCAAGGTTAGCTAAAAATAGAAGTTTTAACACAACACGTTGGACCTTCAAGTCCAAAACCCCAGAAAATCTGTAATTTGTTGTATTATTTTTGATGTCTGTTGTCCTTTGGGCTTGCCATCGAAGGACATGCAGGGATTTTGTGGGGGTTGGAGAAGGAAGACGAAAGAAAGAAAGTAAACAATGTTTTGGGATCAGTTTTATTTGCCAAAAACACAGAAAACATCCTTTCTTGAAAATCCTTGTTATTGTCCACAGAGAAAAGTGTAAAAATAAAAAGAACCAACATATAAAAAAAACATACTTAGAGCCGGGTTGGTGCATGCGTTGTGTGAGCTGTTCTGGTACTTTTGGATCGCAACACTGCTTCATCGATGCAATACCCGTACGATGGATGAGAGAAGTAGTGATGGGACTTACGGCTATTTGAAGACTTGTTCAAAGAGCCAGTCTTTGGAATGACGTGGAGGTGTGAGGGCGGAGGCTGTGGAATAGTGTTCCGTTGCTGTCAATGGGGATGGCGTTACTGGAGGACAAGGTTCTCTACAGGGATTCAGCTCTCATTCTTCACTTTGAGTTACCATTCAAAAGATTTGATCAGTTCATGAACGTCGCATCACTAGAGAGAAATATCAAACATGTTTGAGATTTGTGCGACCGCACGATTGCTGATCGGGAGCTGGTCGTGAGGTGTTGTTCGCTTCTTGTAACCCCCTGTATACTACACGACGCATGGTACCAAACTTGCTGCAACCTCTCGCAGAAGAGGAAAAATCCGCTCAAAATGAGCCAAAAATTGCACGGTGTATGCCAGGTGTCGGTACAGGATCTGCTCGGGTGCAGGGTCGGCTCGGGGTCCTTCGACTGCCGATGACGTCAAAGTAGTTGATTGGCTGAACATGAAGCTTACGGAAGTTACGTTATCACGTTATGATTTTGATTGGTCAGAACAAATTTGCAGTCGTAGTCTTAGCGGTTGTAGTCCTGTAGTCCAAAAATCAACACTTTTTGGAGAAAATGTTTGAATTTCTAAAGGAAATGTAAAATATAAGCAAATGATAAACGGTGACCCTCAAAAGCTCTTGGTGTTGATGAAATGGGGCAAAATAAAATATAAGAACTTTATTGAAAGACACCAAAGCAATATTTTAAGTCAAAGAATGTATTTAGACAACAACTAAGGAAATATACAGACGGACTCCACATTAATACAAACAGTTATGGCTTCACATATAAGAACTGTTCTATTTTTTGTCAGTTCGATGTTGGTTTTATGCAGTGTCACATTCTTTACAAAACAAAGATAATATGGTGTTTTATTAACAAATTACAATTATAAAGAAAATATGTAGGTGTTAACAAACAAGAATTTATTAACAAAACTGCTGATGTCTTTCCAAAACGTATGTGTGAAAGCCGAGTAGATTTGCAGTAATGTGACGTCATCGGCAGTCGAAGGACCCTGAGCCGATCCTGCACCCGAGCAGAACCTGTACCGACACCGGCTTTAATCAAAGGCGAATACTGGCAAACAGGACTCCACATCCTGTTCCAGTCTGATCGGGCTCACATCTAGCTCCTGAAACTGGAATGTCAGAGCTTTTCCCTTGCAGAGATCGACTCACAAGACATTAATTAAATGCCACAGCAAATGTATGCAAATTTAAAAAACTGTTGTTTTTTACCGTTTTTGACTATATGTGTTGCAGTTCAGCTAATTTTGAAGCACATTTCACTTCTTACAATTACTATACTTATTATGTTACTACATCTGCAACACAGACAGTGTTAAAGGAAGTGCAGTTTTTTTTGCCTTCTTGCTGTTATAGGTTTAAAACCTACTCATTAATGGAAGTAACCCTAACCCTAACCTCATTCTTGCATGGATCAGATTTTGACCCTGGTCTGTACTATTTTGGAAATTCCAGCTAATTCACGGACGGGTTGCTTAATTCAACACAAAGTCGCAAAAGTCCAGCATTTATCAGCAATGATATAACCATAAATAAATTTGATCCACCCCACCCAGATCCACAACAAGTTGCAAAGACGATTATTGTTTTGGTACATAATGTTTTGCATTTGCAGTGTAAGTTTTGAAAACCCTCGAAGCTTGGCAGAAAGAGGTGGGGACATGGGAGGGGACGTGAAGAGAAGACTAAACAGGGACAGACAAAGGGCAATGCCCTGAAAGAGGAGGGACAAAGTAGAGTGGCGCCAGCAGAGGTGAATCTGTCCGCCATGCTGGTGCCTGCTTTTGTTTGGCCAGCAGATTGCCGGCGATAGCTTCAAGGGTTGCTCACAAAAGTGTACTAAAAAATATTAAAATTAAGCTCAAATTTTAATTATTTTTCTTGACTTTTACGTATACCACACTGAAGAAAAAAAAGCACCTTTAATATTTGTCTTTCCCCAATTTGTCAGGATCAGATTTCTTTAGCTAAATGGGAAAAGACAAATATTAGTGGATATCCCAGCTAAATCTACCTCTTGTGATGGAGAAACATTAAAACAATAACGATACGTTGCTTCTCTGAGCGTAGGAGTATGGCCGGATTCCAGTAGACATGGAGCCATTGGTGGTTGTATTTGTTGACTCTGACGTCGTGGTGACCCAAAGCAAGCACCCGGGCCGGCGGGGTTATCAGCCAACGAGACAAGCTGACGCGAAGGGGGGGCCCGCAACATGTTGTCCCTTAATGGAGTCAGCAGAGGCAATTTGAAAAGACTTTGAAGATATAATGAGAATTCAAATGACCTCTGATTTTTATCAGCCCACGGTTTATCAGTGTCTACCTCTAGTTTTTGTTTCTTTCATTTTGGTATGTAATTTTCATAAGTATTGATTTTGTATTTATCCGCAGCTGGATGTTGTTGTGAAGGGAGTTTCTCAGACCGACAGGTTAATTAATCTGGAGGTGTTTATCGCTGCATGAATGATGGGGATGAAAATAATCCGAACCAAGTCAGAGCTGAAGATTTCTGTTGAGTCTGTTAACACCCTACTTTATTGTCAGTGATTAGATTAAATATGCACTTGTTTATATCATGTTTGCCATGAAATAGAAGATGTTTTAGTGAAAATGAAAGCAATTATTATTATTAAAGCACAAACTGAAACAACGGACGTTAATGCATCATTTTACTCATCCAGACTTCATCTAAATGTAATCCCATGAAACTAAAAGCTGCTCTGAAATAGATTTAAGTTGGTTCGACTGCTGGTTTTGTGAACATTATGCACGAGAACTGAACATGTTGAGAAATGACTGGCTAATTATTCCATTTGAGAGGTGGTAATTACACCCTTTAGACCGAGCCACGGATATTCCAAAGTGGCTACTTCTCTGTCAGGAAGGTTACCGTGGGTTGAAACGAGTGCAGCTCAGTCAGCCGTGGAATAGATTGACCTGTGCCGTGTCGGCCTTTGTGGGGGTAATCTCCTGCGCTCTTGTCAGTTATGCTTCTGCAAAAGGTCCCTGTGACAGAATGCATATTGCACACACACACACACACACACACACACACACACACACACACACACACACACACACACACACACACACACACACACACACACACACACACACACACACACACACACATATATATACACACACACACGTCTCAGTAGGAAGTATTTGAAAGAAAGACGGCCAGTGATTAAAAATAGATCAGAGAAGTTTCTTTGGTATTGCGGAATTGCAGCATGATGAAGAGGAATAAGGAGGTCAAAACTTCCCCAGCGGAGTTAGGTAACTGCTGCCAGGAATGGGCCGGTCCTCCAGCAGTGATGAGGCAACACCGGGACCTGTGTGTATAAATACACACACTCTTTGCATACTTGACTATCAGATACCAAAAGGGCTGACAAGGATCAGTGAAAGATCTGAAGAGGTCCAATTGGTCAGACAATCACCATCCATCACTGAAGCTTAAGAATAAATTGAGGACATCGTGGTGCTCTTTGGTGGCCCGAAACCCCATGAAATAGAAGGCTGATCAGCTCTAATCTTCACAAGGATTTATCAACCCAACCCATCCACAATGAAGGCATTCAGCATTGCAGTTGCAGTGACACTCGTGCTCGCCTTTGTTTGCATTCTGGGGAGCGCTGCCGTCCCGTTCGCAGGGGTAAGAATTCCACTCAAACTCGTCTCATTTCCTGATTAGCTAAATGTTTTGTCAGGAAGAGAAGAAGCGTCTCCTAAATGTGCATAATTTGTTAACAGGTCCAGGAACTGGAGGAGGCAGGGAGCAGTGAAACTCCAGTCGCGGCACATCCAGAGACGTCAATGGAATCGTGGATGGTATGTTCAATTGACTGAACGAATTAGGCCAATTACTAAGAGCAAATTAAAATTTAAGTGGATGCGTTGCACAGAGCAACCTGCTGCACTCTCAAACGCAGTAAGAGAATTAAGCGCCGGTGAGGACATCTGGCTCATGCTTGTCTTTCCCACAGATGCCAGATCACATCAGGCAGAAGCGCCAGAGTCACCTCTCCTTGTGCCGCTATTGCTGCAGCTGCTGCAAGAACTACAAGGGCTGCGGTTACTGCTGCAAGTTCTAAGGAGTCCTGCAGCAACCACAGATTATTAATTTATTATGTTTGTTTTGTCTCTCTTCAAGAAATGGTGTTTTCTTTGCCTCTTTCTCCCTTTCTGGTTGACAGTTTTAATAGAATTATTCATCCAAACAAATGAAATGATACTCTATTTATTTTGTATATTTCAACTTTTTATATCTATGTATATGAATGTGAATTTCTTTTTTAAAGATTGCATCAGATGTCAAGAAGCTTTTTTTATTTTTCTAAAAATAAGTTTTTGATGCTAAATGAAATAAATCGTATCTGAACCAAAGATAAAAACGCTTTTGTGTCATTATTATTGAGCCAAAGACCAGAAATAGATCTTCACTGAATGAGCCTAAAGTGATTAATGGAAGTTTTAGATTACGCAGGAATTAAAAAGCTAGAAATATGATGTGATTATGGTTACATGGCTGTAGATGCTGAACGGATGTGTCTGGGAGGATGAACACAACATCAATACACAACCTCATATGTTGAGATAATACATTTTGTTGCTACATTAAATTTAAATCTATTTGGATGGGTAGAAAAACAGTGTTATTCAGTTATATGATACACACATTTACTGCCTCTTTTTTTTCTAAACCTATGTTCCAATATTGGCTGAATTTACATTTAAAGGAGACATGACTTTTTCTTAAAGGAGCAATATGTAGGAGTTTTGCAGCTGAAGAATCACAAAACATTCTAATGTAAACCATGTCAGAAGGAAGGTAACATTCAAGCAGATTTTATTCTCAGAGAGCTGGGGGGTTATCAGTTTTTCTCCTTTCAAAAAACAAACACGATCAGTGAGCCATGAGGTTGCCGAGTCTGTGCCAAGCTAATGCAACAGCATCTTCATTTGTAGTTCAACACCAGCAGGCAAAATCTCCAGAGTTGTTTAACAAACAGAAGCCAGTACACTGGAGCGACGCCAAAGTTATTTATTGTACCCCTAAGAAGCCACAACATCAAAAATCAGGCAAAGCAGGCTAAAGGCTAACATGGAGCTAACAATGCTAATGGGAGTTAGAAGAAAATAGTCAGCTCTAAAAATATCTCAAGCTACTTTTTCAATTACCAACAATTCAATATTACAGTGAAATGTAGGCTATGTGTGAAGTGAATAATGAATCAATCGTGGCGTTTTACTTCCATTAATGAGTCGTTAATACCTATAACCGCAAGAAGGCAAATAGCCGCACTTCTTCTAACACCGTGTCTGTTGCAGATATATGAACGTAATAAGTGTAGAAAGTGTTCCCTACCATAACCCCCCAAGAGTGCTAACACCAGATATGACAATGTATTTATTTAGCTGTCAACTTACTGTGTATGACTCATATTTGCTTGTCATTTAGAATTTTTTGGTGCTGATCCGTAACTGGCAACAGCTATGAAACTTACGGTATGGCACTGAGAAAGTAACTTTTTGTTTAGAAAAATGATCTGCAGTAACCAAATTTTATCACAGGGTGTCATTCTTACATATTGCCCCATTAAGTTGTAATAGTTCTATGCTGGTATATAAAAACATGTTTATGAAATAATTTGCTTAATATCCCTCTCACATACAGAAATTTCAGCTGTTGTGTACTTGACATTTTCTGTACTTTCCAGAATGACGCCCTTTCAGGGTTCTATCGCCAGCTGGCGCTGGCCTCGCCTCCACCCCTCCCCCACGAAGGCTACTATAAGCTGAGAAGCTCTTATTTTTTAAATGAGTTTGAAGTAGAGCTCCTGTAGCAGCTGCTGCTCTCCTCTAGGTGGCTCTTTGCTAATTTCCCAACTGGCGATGTCACAAATGGGGACGTTTTGTTGTGGGCTCATGATTCCTAAAGCTGAAAATGGATAGAGTAGTTTTTTCATGTTTGGAGTGTTTGAAGAAGCAATAGAGACCCAAAAGGTAAGTTTTCTATAATATGTCCCCTTTAAATATATTTTTAAAACAAGAGCATCCTATTTCTAGTAAAATTGTTTTCCTGAAATGTATTTAGAGTGAACATTGAAGTGTCAACAAACTGAAGCAGATCATCATCATCATATAAAACGCACATTGTGATAATCCTAATTCTAATATTAGTTTCAAAAGCCTTTGGAATCAGTCCAATTCCACCAGCCTGGGTTTGTTAAGTGTCTACGTCTTGTTTTAACCAAAAGGTAAGAAGATTCTCCCTCAGGGGATTCGTGAAGCATGTCATTAAAAATTCAGCTGAAGGTAGTAGGGTCTTCAGTTTACAGTGATATTAACAGGGTCTGCTTGGATTCTTCTAAGTAAATGCACTTATTACCAACGAGAAATGTAAAACATATATACTTACTTTTTTCACATAATCATCATAACATAATTTCACCCAAAAACCAACATTAAGTAATGTAAATAAAAGCTATTTCTAAATGTCAAAACCTTTTTTGACAGAATGGCATTTGCAAAAAGTTCAGACTGGGGCACGTTTATCTTGGTGCTGCATCACATTTTCTTTCAACAATACTTTGTGTTGTTTCCACTCACCAGCTTTGACAGAATGGTTGCATTTCATCCAGTGGGAACGAGACACACAAGCCCTCTCCGTTCTGAAATCCAGACCAGGGGACGATGTTCCACTTTATCTTAGTCCATCTGAAATGAGCTTGGGCCCAGAGATGCTATGAGCATACCCAGTTCTATATATGGACCAGTATCATCTTGCATGGATGCAAAAATGAATCGTCACCAGCATTGATTGTCAGAGATGTTCTTGTGTCAGTGAATCCCGACAGTTTTTAACATCGACATAAATATATGGACAATGGGTTTCCATAGCTCCAATAATAAGTTTTTGTGCTAAAATGGGAGGTGGCCATCACTGCCATTTTGACCATGTCACAGGTTCCATCAAGCCCAGACAATTCCATAAAAGGGAAGAGAGGAGGAGCTGAGGGTGGGGCTGTAAGGCTGGGATCAACTGACGACACCCGGTCGAACTAGCTACAAGCTAGGGGTTGTACGAACTAGTCGACTAGTCGACTTCACGGCTCTGTAGTGACTTTTTATGCCTGTCATCAACTAGTCGCTGTCACGTGATAATGACTGACAAGATGCAGTCCTCGGAAAAGACAGCAGGTGATGAGCCCCTGCGCGTCTGGATCGAGGCGGAGGCAACGCGCTGTGCGGTACTGACACCGGCGGTAAAACGGACATTTAACCAAACTGTGACCTTTTCCCTCTTGCAATTTAACCTTCCCCTCACCCCCATCCTAATCTTAACCAGTTTGTGCATGCAAAGCTCTGATCGTTGACGTGCGCTCCAGACATTGCGTCCTGAGCACCGCCAAATCAGGTGTCACCACCTCAAAAGCAAATTAAACACACGATCGTTCATGTCGGCTCATTTCCTTTCATGTTTTCTGTCTGTTATTTGTGCCTGATGCGTTTCGCTGCTGCGGAGCGAGGCTCTTCACCTGTTTTGTTCTCCGGTGACGCACCCCCCAAGATTCCACTATCTCCACTCCGCTCCGCTCCGGCATGAACTCCGCAGCAAAAACGGTCCCGTTGTAGTCGGCCGGCGAGCAGCGGCACTCCGCTGTTTTTGCAGTCGGTAGATCTTTTTAGAACTGCAGTTCAAAGGTAACTCATAAGGTGAATATATATGAACGCAGGTAGCAGTTTCTCTTAAGGATTGAGAGGAGATGCAGGAAGATAATAAACAGACAGGACAGAAAAATAGTCAAATAAAAACAAGTTCGTTTTTGTACCTGGTGGTTGCAACAAACAGACACCACTGAAGGTAATCAGAAGTGAGGAACAGAAAATGAAATAATTATTTTAATGTTTAGAGCAGCAGGAACTCCGAGAGGCTGCAGGCGCATCAGTGAGTTTGCGGCTGCTGCGCAGGGGGAGGTGGGAGAGGACTGAAGTAGGATGCAGAAACTACCGTTATTAAAAGAGATGTGTTAACTTAGAAAATGTGGGCGCAATTTTAATTGTCAAAAACTCCAGCGAACCTACCGACCGACCCCCCCCCCCCCCCCCCGCTTCCGGCGTATGACGTCATCAACGACTAGTCGAAGTCGACTCGACTTTCATTACTTGACTGTCGACTTTAAAAAAAATAAAGTCGTGCAGGCCCTACTACAAGCTAATCTGAAGCTAACCCTGCCTAACCCAAAGCTAGCGCGGAGGTAGGAGCTAAGCTAACGGATGTAGCTACCTAGCTTCAACCCAACCGGAGCTAACTGTGGAACACCCATCGACCTGAAGCTCACACGAAGTTTAGGTGGAGGTTTGCGGCGCTTTTTCGTGAAAAGTACCTTGATTAAAAAATTATTAAATCAGTAAGTTTATAATTTATTTCCGTAATGAAAATTTTTTTTTTTGCTTTGAGCAAGTTTTCAATATTTTTAACGTACATTATTTTCCGGACTATAAGTCGCTCCTGAGTCACACCAGCCATTAAATGTATAATGGAAAAGAAAAAAAAGTCGTATTTTGGGGGGACATTTTATTATTTTTCTTACAAAATCTGAGACCAAGCGTTTCACATTGCAAGACAAGCACCGGTAACAATAACAGAATAAACAACGCGGGCGCAGCAGCGCACCACGGTCTCCAGCAGAGGATGGCGGTGTTTGAAACCCTCCCAGTGGGACAGGGGAATTCATTCTTGGATCGGAGTCGGCCCGCAGCAGCGCGTGTGGCCTACATATTTTGTTATATAAGTTGCTCTGGAGTATAAGTAGCAGGACTGACCAGACTATGTAAAAAAGTGTGATTTATAGTCCGGAAAATATGGTAGTTATTAGTATTTGAGATAAATTAGCAGGCTAAATACATTTCATATATTTCCAAAACGTAATCCTTGTTTGTATCTTGTACAGCCAACTAGCCTTTATTCTGGACTCAGTACAATTCATCAAAAGTAAAGAGACATTATACAGATGAAGTAAGCACAAGATAACTTACTGGAAGAAACGGAATTATTATCATGAGAACCAGAACAAGAGAGCCTGATAACAGTCATGTGAAAATAATAATTAAAAAGTATGTATGTATAATAGAAATAAAAATATATTAGAATTAGTGTAACTCACTGTGATCCAAACAATAAATCAGCCATAGCTGATTAGCAATCATGAAATGAGGTCTGGGAGTTTTTAAGTTTCATTCTTTTATTACATTTTTTTCTAAGATCTTTTTAAAGGTCACCATGGCAGCCTATGTGTCTCCAACATCAGCTACACAACACAGCAAGTGTAAGTTCCAAATACCTGTCTTGACCACTTCATGAATGGTTTTGTACTTTAAACAGCTAGGC